TGTGATTCTTTGCAGTCCCATGGACTATAGCCCACCAGGCTCGTCTGTCCATGGGGATTCTCCAGACAAGAATACTGGAGTGAGTTGCTGTGCCCTTCTCCAGGGGATCTTCTCAACTCAGGGATTGGACCCAGGTCTCCCACACTGCAGGTGGATTCTTTACCATCTGAGCCACCAGGAAAGCCCAGTTAGGTATAAACAGTTTTGCCAAAAAATTAACATATGTTTGATTAATTCTGTAGGAAAAGATCTTTGCCTTTATTCAGAGATTACTACAAAGCTTACAAAGCATAATGAGTTGCTAAACAGCTTATACCTCAGGTATTCATTCGTAAGTATTTTAAAAAATATTGACCAGTGTAAGAAATTATAGGGACTACCCTCATGGTCCAGTGGTTAAGTCTTTGCGCTTCCTGCACAAGGGACATGGGTTCAGTCCCTGGTTGGGAAACTAAGATCCCGTATTCCACATGATGTGGCAGAAAAAAGAGAGAGAGAGAAATTATATAGTTAAATGACTACAAAAAAACAGGTACATATGGAAAATATGAATCTTAGCATTTTTATATGACTCTTTATTACAGGCTCTGTTTCATTGTTGAGATAACCCTGTTTGTTACATTGTTGTCATATTTTCCTTTAATTCTTTAAACATGGTTTCTTTGAATTTTTTGAGCATTTCTGTAATAGCTGATTTGAGGTCTTGGCTAAATACAGCATTTGGGCTCACTCAGAATCTTTCTGTTTACTGCCATTATTCTAGAATTTGGATTACACTTTCCTGTTTTTCCTGCATGTCTCATCACGTTTTGTTGAAAACTGTCCAATATGTCTTTGATAATTTGTTATAGGAACTCTTGTTTGGATTTTCCCCTCAAGGAAGATGGGTGGTGATGGTTTTTTTGGTAGTCTGCCTGCACTTAGTTTGTGGGATCTGTTTCCCTGGTAGTTTGTACATTACTATTTTTAATTTTTTAGGCTGGTTTGCTAGGGTTGCAACTATGTCTAGACAGATTAGGGGTCAATGGTAAGTCAGTAGTTGTGCTCAAACACCTCTCTAAACCTGTGAGGCCTCCAGCCTTTGCCAGTGAATGTATGTTGATTTGGGAGTACATTTAAAATTAAGGCAGTTTTCAAGTCTTTCCGTCAGGCCCTTATGGGTCTTTCGCTTTCCGTCAGGCCCTTATGGGTCTCCCGTATATGTTCCTCTAGCCTCCCAACCAGCCAAGACTATGTGAAGAGTTTCTGTAGCCCTTCTGTGTCTCTCTCATTTCCGGAATCTTTGTGGAATTTCTAAATTTCTGACCAGCCTTCCAGGCTACAGTTCAGGCCAACCAAAACTGCAACCTGAAGCTAGCATAGCTGCTTACATTCCCTGTTTGTTCCTTAACCAAGTCTGATACTTAATTCTGTGTGTGTGTTTCACTCTTCACTCAAAACTCCTTTAGCCCCTTCCAGAAGTGAAGTCACTCTTTTTCACAGCCAGCCCTATCCTCAAAGAATTTCCATACCAACTGAGCAAAGGGTGAAGGTAATGAGAGTGGCTTCAGGCAAAGGCACCACAAATCCCCACTGTGGTTAACCAAGATTCAGCTAGTTTTCATGAATTAACACTTAGCAACACATTTGTGTATGTTTGAGCCCTCAAGTGGTTGTTTAAAGGAAAAAAGTAGTTTTAAGTATTCAAAAGAAATATGATTGTTTATATGTCATTGTTTAACTATTAATGTCATTGTTTAACTATTGATTGTTTTAACTATTGAAGTTAAGCATTGAAACATCTTAGCCTAAGATGGCTAGGATTAGATTTTCTTCATTCTAGAAACTATTTCATACAGCATCTGGCCCCAGTGTGTTCAACTATACTTATTCTTCCTATTCCTCTTACTCTTATTGCAGCCTGTATTCTAGTATTATGGAACTATTTAAATTTCCGTAGTGGTATATGCTTGGTCTCGCTGGCAGTTGCAAGTGCAGTATATCCTTTTTCTGATCAACTATTGCTATATTACATTAGGATATATTTGAAATATCTTCCATTTCAGAATTTAACTTGAACTTCTCAAAAGAATTGATACTCTGGCCAATAGCAAACCTTTTTATAGCTCTATTGCAGTACTTATCAGGTTGAATTAAAGTAATTATTGTATATTTTTCTGACTACAAATGAAATAAGATCACAGTATGAAAATGTGGAAAAATTATTGCTCAATTCTGGTTACATTTAGGTTATATTTCTTTCCAGTCCTTTTAATAGGCCTCATTTCTTACACAATAGAGACCATATAGTATAAAAATTTTTATGTAAACTGCTCTTCCTATGCTATTGAAACAATCATTCTGCATTATATTTTATCATAATCTACCACTGTATGCATCTAAATATAAAGTGATAGTACAAAGTAATACTCAGTTTTCCCAAAGAGAATCTCTGCTGTCTTATACATAACACTTTCAGAGAGGTAGATGAAATAGTCAAAGGTCAGATGTTTACTCTATTTATAGATATTATTGTAGGATGATATGCATTTATTGCTATCTGAATCTCTTTGACTTGTGATTTTGCATAGCAAGCGTAGATGTGCTCAGTCGTGTCTGATTCTTTGTGACCCCATGGATTATAGCCAGGCTCCTCTGTCCATGGAATTTTCCAGGCAAGAATACTGGAATGGGTTGGGATTTTCTCCTGCTAGGGATTCTCCCCACCCAGGGCTTGAACCCGCATCCCTTGTGTCTCCTGCATTAGTAGGTGGACTCTTTATCACTGTGCTACCTGCAAATGTAGATAGCAAAGATTATCTTTTTCCTGGTCTTATCCCAGAATAAAGTCATTTTGATTTCTGGGTTCAGATAAGTTCTCACATAGCAAAAATACCTTTGATCTTTTTTCACTTACATTTTATGAAGACCAAAAATTTATTATTGCTAGAGTCACTTTTAAAATAGCATCTATAGCTCAGAATTGAGATGTTACTTTTTGAATTTTATCCCAAGCCCCAATTACTGCTGTTCCTTCTAATAGTAAGATAGCTGTGTCCCAACCCTCCTTCATCTTGTACATATACACTTGTAAATGATAGGAAATAAGTACTTTGCTGCCTTTTAAAAAGTTTGGTTGTTTTTTTCAAAACATTTACCAAATAAACCATATTCTGGGCTATAAAACACACCTTAACAAATTTAGAAAGATTTGAGTTATAAAAGGTATTCTCTCAGACCACAATAGAATTAAACTATAAATCAATAACAATGAGAGCTAGAAGGGCCCAAAATGTTTGTAGACTATCTAATTAGCATATGTGTCAAATAAAAAATCACAGTAGAAATTTTTAAATATTGATACTTTGGATTAAATGAAAATGCTTCTTATCACAATTGAAGAGCTGTAGTGAAAGCAGGCTTAGAGGGAAATTTTTAACATTGAATGCATATATTAGAAAAGAAGAAAGATGTATAATCAGTAGTGTAAGCTTCTATCTTAGGAAACTAGGAAAACAAGACCAAATTAGATCTAAAGTAAGAGGAAAAGAAATAATGAAAATTAAAACTGAAATTAATGAAATCTGAAAACAGGGAAACCACAGAGAAAATCAGTGGAACTGAAAGCTGGTTCTTTGAAGGGCAGTAAAACTGATAAACCTCTGGTCAAACTAACCAAGAAACAAAAGACAAATTACTAATATTAAAAATGAAAGAAAGCTATCACTACTGATACCATGGACAGTTAAAGGATAATATAGAAATATTATAAATAACTATGCCCACAAATTTGATAACTTAGATGAAATGGATATGACTGTATGAATTAAAATGATGATCAAAAATTCTTTTTGGAGGGCTTCTTCAACTAAATGTGCTGTTGGTAAGATATAAAGCATTCTCCCCCAAATTCTGTTAAACTCAGTTTATAAGATTTTTATTATAGTTCTGTATATGATGCCCTCAATAGATAGTAAATTAAAGATTTACTATGTAAAACAATTTCTTTATTATCTTAGTAATTGAATCTAATTTGATCTAATAAAAATATAACACTAGTTAGGCATGTAGAATTACAGAAAAGTAATTTAGAAAATAGGGTCTTTGGTGTTTTAACTGACAATTTACCATTTTCTAGTGAGTTACCTAAAAACCTAGTAAAACTCATCTCATCCTAAAATATCCGTGAATGTTATTCATTTTATGGGGGTGGCAGAGGCATGTCCCATTACCTGTTTTATAATTCTTAATGATAATTTAGTGGTTATTAACAATCAACTGTGGTGTTGGAGAAGACTCTTGAGAGTCCCTTAGATTGCAAGAAGATCCAACCAGTCCATCCTAAAGGAGATCAGTCCTGAGTGTTCATTGGAAGGACTGATGCTGAAGCTGAAACCTCAATACTTTGGCCACCTCATGCGAAGACTTGACTCATTGGAAAAGACCCTGATGCTGGGAGGGATTAGGGGCAGGAGGAGAAGGGGACGACAGAGGATGACATGGCTGGATGGCATCACCGACTCGATGGGCATGAGTTTGAGTAATCTCCGGGAGTTGGTGGTAGACAGGGAGGCCTGGCGTGCTGTGATTCATAGGGTCGCAAAGAGTCGGACACGACTGAGTGACTGAACTAAGTTGAACTGAGCAATCAGCTTCTTCCATTACTTCTCTTTATCTTTTAAAAAAAAAGTCTTCATCTTAATACATGTACTGTATAAGGACATGTCCTTTTATCAGTCCATTTCTTGTCCATTCTTAATATTAGATTGGTGCAAAAGTAATTGTGGTTTTGCATTGTTGAACTTTGCTATGTGCTATTGGAATATATTCTTAAATAAATGTGATTATGTTATACGTCATTTTAATTCACATTTCTCACTTTATGTTTTTTTGCTAATGACTTATTACTTGCTGTTTACTTTATATTTATTTTAGACTAGGGAAATGATGTTAGACAAAAAGCAAATTCCAGTGATTTTCTTATTAGAGTTCAAAATGGGTTGTAAAGCAGTGGAGACAACTCCTAACATCAACAGCACATTTGGCCCAGGAACTGCTAATGAATAAACATACAGTGCAGTGGTGGTTCAAGAAGTTTTGCAAAGGAGGTCACAGCCTTGAAGATGAGAAGCATAGTGGTCATCTACTGGAAATTGACAACAACCTATTGAGAGGATCATCGAAGCTGATCTGACAACTATATGAGAAGTTGCCCAGGAACTCGGCGTCAACCTTTCTAGCGTCATTCCTCATTTGAAGCAAATTGGAAATGTGAAAAAGCTTGATAAGTGGGTGCCTCATGAGCTGACTGCAAATCAAAAAAGTTGTCATTTTGAAGTGTCATCTTCTCTTATTCTGTGCAGCAACAAAGATCGGATTGTGACGTGCAATGAAAAGTGGATTTTATACAACCAGCAACAACCAGCTCAGTCATCAGACCAAGAAGAAGCTCCAAATCCCTTCCCAAAGCTAAACTTGCACCAAAAAACGATCAGCGTCATTGTGTAGTGGTCTCCTGCCCATGTGACTCACTGCAGCTTTCTGAATCCCGGCGAAACAATTACATCTGAGAAGTTGTTCAGCAAATCAATGAGATGCACCGAAAACTGCAAAACTTGCAGCCAGCTTTGGTCAACAAAAAGGGCCTCATTCTCCATGACCATGCCCAACCGCCTGACAACAACCAGTGCTTCAAAAGTTGAACAAATGGGGCTGTGAAGTTTTGCCTCATCCTCCATATTCACCTGATCTCTCATCAGCTGACTACCACTTCTTCAGTCACCTCGACAACTTTTTTCAGGGAACATGCTTCCAGAACCAGCAGGAGCCCAAAAATGCTTTCCAAGAGTTCATTGAATCCCAGAGGACAGATTTTTATGCTGTAGGAATAAACTTATTTTTCACTGGCAAAAATTAGTTGACTGTAATTGTTCCTATTTTGATTAATAAAGATGTGTTTGAGCCTAGTTATAATGATTTAAAATTCAAAGTCCAAAAGCACAATTACTTTTTCATCCAAAAGCACAATTACTTTTTCACCAACCTAATAGTGCATCCCCCTTTTTCCCTCTTAAATGTGGTTCCTGTATTCTCTACTCTTCATTTTCATATCATCCCCTGGCAGCTTAATTTATTTCCATGATTTTGGTTACCATGTATATGCTAATGATACCAAATCTGTATTTCCAGTTCAGAGTTCTGATCTGATCTTCACATATCTAGGTGCCTGGTAAACTCTGATGTTTTTGCCTGTGATATACCTTTACATCATGAGCAAGCTAATATTCTCCCCTTTTCTGCTGAATCACCCAAATTTGTTCCTCTTCCAGTATTCCCTGGTTCATTAAATGTGTTTGTATGCCTAAGCGAGAGACGTAAAGATTTTTTTCTTGACTCCTTCACTATCTCAAGGCTTCCCTGGTAGCTCAGCTGGTAAAGATTCTGCCTGCAATGCAGGAGACCCTGGTTCAATTCCTGGGTGGGGAAAATCCCCTGGAGGAGGACAGGGCAAACCACTCTGGTATTCTTGCCTGGAGAATCTGCATGGACAGAGGAGCCTGGTGGGCTGCAGTCCATGGGGTCACAAAGAGTTGTACATGACTGAGCGACTAAGCACAGCACAGTGCAAGTTTAACAACAGTTCTCTGTATCAATGAGTTACTTCAATGGAGTTATTTACCTATTGTTGTAACAAAGCCTGTGAGATACCTTTGTATCATGAGCAAGCTAATATTTTCCCCTTTACTACTGAATCACCAAAATTTGTTCCTCTTCCAGTGTTCCCGTTTTCATTAAAAGCTTCTGTATGCCAAAGGTCGAAACTTAAAGGTTCATTCTTGACTCCTTCCCTGTCTCACTTCCCACATCTAGTTTATCACCAAGTCCTATTATCGTTTCCAAGTTATCAATATCATTTCAGTCTGCCTACCCCTCTGTGTCTTCTTCTCCCACCAGGGCAATTACAGTAGACTCCCATTTCCAGTTTTACTGCAATTCATTCTCTGCAGTTCAACCTGATAATTTTGTCTGAAACATAAACCTGATGCTCACTTGGCAAACTCTCCTAACCATTCAGCGATTTTCTTTTGCTCTAAGATAAAATGCAGGTTCCTTAGCATA